AAGTATATAAACATGAAATAATGAAATACACTTGTACACTGTGACAAATTACCTTTAGTGGCCCTATACTGATGGCCCCAAAATAAATGAGCCTATCTGACCTATTGCTAGATAAATATGTAAAAATATCTGGAAAAAAAAAAATTTACTTTTATAACATTGTTATAATAGAAGACATTCATTCATTCATGCAGCATTCTTTCAAATGAACTTATTAAACTACAGTAAAAAATAATATGCTTCTACTGTAAAAATCCCAGCTTTAAAACAAGCGCATAGTATAAAACATGATACCCTTTCTTTGAGGGAAAATCTTTTAGAGGTAATGCTCAAGGGTTTACCAAGAGGCAAAGCAATACTGAAAAAATGGCATAAATTGTTTCTATAAATATCATCAAAACAAAGATTCAGCATCTGCAAACCAAATATGAAGTAAAAAACAAAAACGGATAGTCATATAACAGAAGACTGAGAAAGCAAGCAAAAGATATGACGGGTTAAAGGGCAAAAGAGAATTTCCATGAGATCAAAATGTCAAATCAAAAATATATCCCATCATTTTCATATACTATTGTTCTTCAAGGCCCTTACATAACTTGATAAACTTGTGCTACAGACACATGCCTACAATTTGTAATAAAGGTGCTATCATGTATTAAAAAAAAACTGATAATGCCATAAAATTGACATAATCATATATGAAATATCTATAAAATTACTGTGTATAATAGATTATTTAACTAGTCTCTTTCCACATAAATGCGCGCATTGTTTATGTGCTTCTAATTCAGTTGCTCATGAGTCAACCAAGTTCACGTACACAGGCATGATTAAGGGTACACGTAGACAAACCAATCATCACAACCTATAAGCCTATGTTCACTAATCTAAAAATATACGAATATATTTATTTCAATCAACGGCAAAAAATAAGAAAGAAAAGACAGAATAAATAAATCCACAAAAAATAAGCATTGTACTTGCAACATTCCAGACAGAGTATGACTCACAATACATAACAAAAGACAAACTACCATGACCAGCAGTGCATTGGCCCTGCATGTGTCCACCCAACCATGGAATTACTAAAATTTGTGGGGAGTTTTCTCTTTTCTCTGACTGGAAGGAAAGAACAAGGACTGGTGATCTGTATTCAATTAGCTTTCTGCCTCAAAACTATGATTGTTCATGTACAAAAAAATGGAGGGGTACTGATGGCTTATTATGTTGAATTAGAAACATTTGAATGTGGCTGAAGTATTGCTACTGAATAGAGCATTTCTGTAAAACAAGTATCTTTCCAATTACTAATAACTTTGAAAACACAGCCATAGTAAGAAAGTAAACAATCTTCATATGGAGACACTCAAGAGAAACATGATATAAATCATACAAAATTGCAGTCACAGTCAAACAACCTCAGTATCTAATTATGAAATCTATTCTTTATATATCTTATCTTTTTAAGACATACACCATTTAACATGGGCCACTGTTTTTATATTCTACACAAGCCTGCAGTTATTAATCTGCACTTTGTTTCTTTACATCCTTTTACTTTTACTTTATGGCTGCTGCTCTGCTGTACGAGAAGCTCTTCAACAGGTGTCTCATGAAATTCTTAGACTTTTTGTCTTAAAATGATCTCTGCTCAGATGTAAACTTCGAATTTTGTTAAAGAAACAGAAAATTCCTTGCTACTGCCAATATCCTTATTCACAAATTTATATTTCATTCCCACATACACCACTTTGCATTATCTGATCTTGATGCATGTGAACTCATTAATGCCAGGTACTTGTACTCTCCACTAGTTTTTTGGTGAATTTTGGTTACAAATAGATTGCTTCTGTGTCAGAGTTAACATGCATAAAACCATAAACAAACTGAATCATCATGCATTATTCAGACAAACATAAGAACTAGGTAATTAAAAAAAGAAAGAAAGAAAGAAAAAAAAGGCTCCCTTACAGTGCCTAATAAATTACGAAAGATTAAAGTTCTAGAATACAATATTTTGTTTTGTTCAAAGTTAGTTTTACCTACAGAGTAAATTTCTTCAAAAACTTAATGCAACTCCCTACGGTAAATGCTGAATGTTGCAGCTGTCCCAAAAAGGCCCCAGAATAAAACAAATAATAAAGTTAAGGAATTGTTTCTATGATTTTTGCCATGTTAATTTTGATATGCTACAAATGGTTGTCACCTCTAGAAGTGCTGAAAAAATCTAATCATTAACCTTTTCCTTTCTTATTTAGTACATTACTAATGAGAATTTACCCTATTAGATTACAGATATAGGTACCTGTCTCTGATTTTAACTTAATAATGTTTCCCGAACAACTATCACATTACAGAAATTTCTGACCCTCAGAACCAGTCACTGCATAACAAATACAAGGTTATGGAAGAAAATATTGACATCTGGATCAAAAGCTACCATAGATATGCTTACAAAATTTAGATGCAGTTCCTTCACCATTATCACTAACTGATCCCTGTTGGGAGTATAGAGTGAATGAACATTTAAAAAATGTGACCATTACAACATGAAGTCCACGTGGAGTATGGGTAAGAAAAGGTGGTCTGAAGTATCAGCAACCACTTAGCAACACTCATGCAAACTGCAATTTTGCCAGACAACAGATGTTGACCAATATATCTTTTATACATCTATTTCCAAACTATTTTTACTTCAGAATCGTAATTATATCATACAACAAAATGGATCTATGAAATGAAAATGTGGTATTCATCTTTTGCGCTGACTACTGGCACGGCAACCATATCCCAATTTGTGATTGTTATTTGTATATCTGCGTCCTGCGTGTGCGTGGTGAAATTATACTTCTGCCCACTAACAAACTGGCAACATAGAATATGAGATGATAAAAAAAACAATAAAGTTAGGCTAAGAATATTGAACACACAGTGCTATATCCAATACCATACTTATCATCCAGAAATAATGTTTATATGCACATTTGCATATGTGTGCCTGCTGCCATATTCGTATCCTCAGCCTTTATCTTGACTTGGACTGCAGGATGAAATGCTATAGCCTCCACAATTTTGGCCTCAGCAAAAGCTAACAAAGCTTCAGCATATATATCCTGGTAAAACAACTTTGATTGGTCCCTTATTTCATGATTAATCACCAGGGAGATCTATCAGCTCTACTTTGTCAAAATGTACATGGTACTAGGGTATCATAAACCAATGCCAGCGTGTGGACCAGAAAAGCTGAGATATTGCATGATTCACAGATCCTTCACCAATCAATGGTTTGAAAAAGATAAACACACCCATATAAAAAAAAAAAATATATATATATATATATATATATATATATATAAAAACTCACTGCCACTCGATTCCACCAGACAAAAAAATGGACATGTTCTGGGAATAGATATATAATGGGACAATGAATCTAAACATGGAACTAGACAGAAATAGTATGTCCTTCCTTGTGCACCATAATTTCTAAGATCCTCGACACAGTCATCACTGTAGCTAAAAATAGCGGTAGTTTTCCTGCAACAAATATCCTAGGCTCCAGGCTATTTCCACGCATTTATATCCGTCTTATCTTCCACATTCTGAATATCTCTAGAAGTTAGGAAAAAATAACGTGATAGCATGAAACTCTTATAGAACTAATGTCGACGAGAAGTTTAGGTAATCACGTGACAAACCCGAGATAAAAAAAATGAACAAAAAATAATTCATGCAATGACATCAGAGAATACAGTCTTTGAACTTTGAAGGAACAACTTGCCACAAAACGAGTAAATCACAATATTTAGTTATAGATCACAATGAACACTAGTCGAGCCTGACCTTTTCTTGTATTTGATCATATCTCTGTTGATCTTATGCTTGTGTAGCAGGAGGTTGAGAGAGTTTGTCAGCAGCGCACCGCCATACGTACACGTTCGTCAAGCGACAACATGAATGTGTGTCAAATCTGACAAGCGAGGGTCTTCGACTGTATACAAGGGATACAAGACTAAGATTTTTATTGTAAATAACAATTTTCAAGTCATATTTATTTGCTGAATCCATTTCTTAGGAATATTGTATAAGTGATTATTGTTTTTTTAGTGAAACATTTCCTGACTGTGAGGTTAAGCAACATTTGGCAACTACGAGCGTATACAATAAATAAGTATTTGGAACCTTTTTATAAACAAAGATTTTTAAAAATGCAGAAGAAAATATACGTTTTGCTATCAGTACTATTTCTTTTGTATTTTAGACACAAATATCCTAGGTTTTAAAAAAGTTTACAGATTTCAAAGAAGTTTACGTGGCAATTTCAGTTCGCGTGAACGGTGAAGATATCACGGTATATGCATCTAGTTGGATTATAAATGTTATACCAAGAAACAAGAAATGGTTGCAAGTGAAGATGATCCTACCAGAAACGTCTCTCATGATATGCAATCACTTCCAGCGGCACTCCCATCTCTATATATATATATATATAATACTATATTATCCCTATATTCACATATATATATACATATATATATATATTAATAATATATACTATATCTAGCTATATATTATATACTTATATATATGTAATATATATAAATAAATTAATATATGTATATATATTACTATCTATATACTATATATATTCTATATATATATATAATATATATATATATATATAAATATACACTGTGTGTGTGATGTATATACTAGTTGGTGAATATGTGTGTGTGTGTATATATATGTATATATATATATTATTATATAGTATGGTATGATTAGTTGATTAATATGTGTTAGTTTATTGATGTATCATACTATATTATATATATATTATATATATGGATATAATATATATGTATGTATTGAATATGTATATATACCATATATATGATGTATATAATCTATATAATATAATATATATAATAATATATGTGTGTGGTGTATGTTGTGTGTGTCTTAGTATGTCTCTCTCTCATCTTGATCATGTGTTCTAT